TGTTTTCGTGTTCACTAATAAAATTGTTTTAATTTAGCGAGCTTATTATCACTATTATCATATTTCTATTTTACATTTTGTAATTTCCTCTTCCACGCAGTTCTTTCATTACCTAAACCAAACACTAACGATGTAGACTACATAAATTGAACAATGTTCTTGAAGACGATTTTAACTAAGTAATAATGATAGACAACATAAATTAGGCAATGCTACTATAGACTACAAGAAATAAATGATATTGCTTTAGGCGACAGATACTAAATAATGATTGTATACATAGTATTAACTAAACAGAACTAACATAGACAACAAAAAATAAAAGCTAATATAACATAAACTAACTAAACAATCCTGGTGTGTGTGTATGTATATATATATATATACATATATATGTATATATGGTCATAATAAGCTAAGCAATCTAACAACGTGATATAGATTACAAAAACTAAACACTGTCAGTATAGAGAATTGAAGATAAACATTGCTAATCTAGACAAATAAGTTTGGTTACTCTGACATGTTTTCTGGTTAATGTCCTGGGATTATTGCTGTCTGTTATGTAAATATTAGATTAATTTACTTTCGTTAATTTGTCATTTTTTACATTCAGAACAAAGACTGTACAGGTATATTCTCTCTCCGTCAAAAATGGCGAGGTTATTAAGAAATATTTTTATCTTTAACATTTGTTTATTACGACCTCTTGTCTGGATATTCTGGCTAGTAGGGAAAAACCAAAACTTTGAACTGGAACAAAGCACGTGACTCATAGTTAATCAGCTATTCCATCATATGTTTAAAAAGCTAGCTACAGTGAGACTGCTTTTTCATCTAGTATTAAAATGAATTAATCCTTTAAGTTGTTTTAAAAATAGACATTGAACAGACAGTTACTTCCAGGACCAGTTCACGCAGCGATTGTTTCACTTGCCTTAATAGTAATAATATACGACATAAACGTTTTATATTTCTGCATGGCCGAACCTTTATCGTATATAAATAATCAATCATTTAATCTTTTAACTTTAGAAAGCTTTTTCTTTTTACACATCCTGCTTTTCAGTTAATAATATAAGTAAAATGCATACTACCATTATTATTAAACCACAATATTGATATTTTTCAATATATCATAACTATCGGGCAACAGCTGGCAAAAATACATAGCTATCGAATCTACTATATTGAATCAATTTTTATTTGGCGTAAAAATGCACAATAAGCTATCGAACTCAAAATTTTAGCGGCACATCGCTGTAAAGTTACCGCTGACTCACTGGGGGACAGCTATATTGTATACTAACTGGAGTATCCGTCCCCTGGATGGAAGTTATGTAAATTCATGTTAAATGAAAGGTTATCTTAGGACATGAAAAGTTGCTTCCCTTATATGTAATTGCAAAAAACGCAAAAACGACCATAAAAATTAAATTTGGTGAAAATCCATTTAAAGGGGGGCGACATAGTGGTAAAAAACGCAAATACGCCCATAAAAACCGCAAAACTGAAAATTTTTATGTACCCCCCGCATCGACCTAATGAGCCTCCAATCCAATTTTGGTGAACATCCATCCAAACCTTACATAGTAGTTGCATGGACATACAACAGATAGTACTATCATGTTTATATAGATTTTTTTTCAGGTTTTATTTTGACAAGATAATATTTCATATATTTAGTAACTTGACTAACAACGGTTTATAGGCATAATAAAGTGGTTTTATTTTATGCTTGCAACGTATTAATGGTCAAATAGTTTTGATATGAAAACTTAAATTGTATATATTACTCAAATGACAAATAATTCCGAAATTTAACCATGCGTATCACCCAGTATTTCACGAGAGTCTCTAAACAGGAATTAGTCAGAATGAAATATGATTTAAATGTCTTGCTAAAAGTAGCTCAACACATAGAAACAATTAGCTACCTGTATAAGCAAAAAGTATCTTTTTTTTTTTTTAGATTGTTATTCTATATTATTTCACGATTTTGTTCTGGGCAGAATTTGTTTTTTTCACATTTGATTTTGTTTGTTTGAAGTTAAGCACAAAGTTACACATTGGGCTATCTGTGCTCTGCCCACCACGGGTATCGAAACCCGGATTCTAGCGTTGTAAGTCCGCAGACAAACCGCTGTGATACTTGGGGGCTTCACATTTGAAACGAGTAAGTAAGGACGAAGAACAAGATAAAAAAATACACTTCGTTTAGCAGACATAATAATAAATATAAAAACGTTAAAGTATCGATTAATTTTACTGGTTTATTAATCGAAAAATATTTCAAACTTATTTACATCTTTTTCTTAAAAAAAAATGGTGATTTGAAAAAAAAAAAACTGCTAAAGATTTGATTACCTTTTGTTCCGACCGACTACAAATAATACTTTGAACTAAGTCTAAACGAATTATCTAGGCGAAGTTCGATTTAAAGGAATGGGTTCAGTTGCTATTAATAGCAGCTTTCTTCTTGTTTTTTTTAACTTATCTTGGTCAGAAACAAATAGTTGCATATGTGGGACAGACAAAAAAAAATAGAGTTCAATGTAAGTATGGTACAAAGTATGTAATAACAGAGACATCTGATACTAAATTGTAGGTTATAGTTTTATTTTACACGTGATTCTTTCGAATGAAGAGTAAATCTGATAGTATATCTGAATGCGCTTCTCTGGATAAATTTTTTTACCATAACCCCTCTATAATTTCAACTTTTATTTTTCTGTTCCTATGCGCACAAACCTATTTCCTTTGGCCCAGTTGTTGGAAATAATAAGAAGGTATTCAGGGTAGAGAAATGCTGTTGATTTGTACCTTTTTTTTTCGTTGAACCTTTACAATAACGTAACTATAGTTCTTTCTTTATAAATGTATACTTAAATATGTATTCTGCAGAGTATTTGAAAATTTAATGGTAGTAGGCCTATTCCCCGAATCCTTATAATATGGTATGATATCTAGCGTTGGAAAGGGCACAGTAAAAAACATTAGTTACGATTATTTGAATGTGTAATACTCCTAGAAAAATATGAAAATAATTCTCCAAATGATTCGTTCATTCAATATCAATTCGAAGAGACGATAAAAAAATAAGTTATTTTATTAAAAAGTAAATATGAAGCACAATCCAATATTTGTTGCCACACTTGTCTCTTGGTTACATTAGTTTCGAAGACTTCCTCCTTTTAAAAGTAATGCTACACAAGGTCATATCGAAAGAACAAGGCTGGGACTCTTATAGTGGTGGACTGTATATTATATGTATTGTGGTTTTACTTGTATCTTAATTACCACAGTGAACCTATATTTATTTAGAATTTTAAAATTTTGTAGTATTGATGTGTTTATTTATTCTTGTGAATTATTCAGCAGATAAGATGTTTAATATATGAAAGAAATAAAAAAAAATAACATAATATATTATTTGATTCCTCATTTGTTACTGAGTTATGCCGGTTTCGGGGAATTCCATTCTTTTCAATATTCCTAGACAAAGGGGAATCGAAAGAACAAAAATAGGCCTCTTACAATGATGGAATTTATACTGTGTATTTAAATTCTATATAAATGTAGGCCTCTCACAATGATGGAGTTTATACTGTGTATTTAAATTCTATATAAATGTAGGCCTCTCACAATGATGAAGTTTATACTGTGTATTTAAATTCTATATAAATGTAGGCCTCTCACAATGATGAAGTTTATACTGTGTATTTAAATTCTATATAAATG